GAACCGGTAAAAAATCATTACCTGTAAAAAAATATATATTATTTTTTAAATTACCTTGGCATAGACGGACATCTATTAAGTGGATGACTCTCCAACCATTCTCGAGCACGTGGATTTAATGGGACATAATCGAAAACGATGTCCGTCTATGTCAAGGTAATTTAAAAAAATAATATTTTTATGGTATTTGTTATAGTTATTCTCTTGTTATTATTATTTTTTTTACAGGTAATAATTTTTTACCGGTTCAAGATGAAGCTAATTGTGATGTTTTTCTTTTTGTAATAAACAATGTTGGGGTTTTTTTTTGTGATGTTTTTTGTAACACCCCCTCTGGCACGTATCACAATATTGTCCGCTTTGGGCCACTCGGCACGAGGACTTCCCAGGGGGTCACCCATCCTGGTACTACTCCCGCCCGAGCACGCTTAACTGCAGAGTTCTTATGGGATCTGCTGCCCTCACGGCTTTAAAACGCGTTGTGACAAGGAAGGTATCCACACCCCTTTATAAGGAAATGTTTCGTTCTCCTTCCAAGCCGATGTAGGATCAGATCTAACCCACTTTCACCCCCCATTATAGGGTTCGACATCCCTGTCGAACACATCGACCCGTGCCCTAGCTCTGATACCATTTGTAACATCCCCCTCTGGCACTTATCACAATATTGTCCGCTTTGGGCCACTCGGCACGGGGACTTCCCAGGGGGTCACCCATTATTCCCTCCTGGTTAACAACATGACCCAAGAATTGGACTTCCCGTATCCAAAAGTCGCATTTGGAGAACTTTGCAAAAAGCTTCTCCTTCTTTAACACCTCCAACACTTCTCGTAGATGCTTGCCATGCTCCTCCTGGCTTTTCGAGTAAATGAGAATGTCGTCGATGAACACTATCACAGATTTATCGAGGAATGGTTTACAAACCCTATTCATCAAATCCATGAATGCTGTGGGAGCATTGGTTAGTCCGAATGACATAACCAAGAACTCGTAGTGTCCATATCTTGTTCTGAATGCAGTCTTCTCAATATCCTGCTCTCTCACCTTCAGCTGATGATATCCTGACCTAAGATCGATCTTTGAGAAGTAGCTCGAACCTTGCAGCTGATCGAATAGATCATCAATCCTCGGTAATGGATACTTGTTCTTCACCGTTGCCTTATTCAACTCTCGGTAGTCTATGCACATCCTCATGCTTCCGTCCTTCTTCTTCACGAATAACACCGGAGCTCCCCAGGGTGATGAACTAGGTCGAATGAAACCGTTGTCCAACAGCTCCTGAAGTTGCGTCATGTGCTCCTTCATCTCCGTCGGTGCTAATCGGTAAGGTGCCTTTGCTATCGGTGTTGTTCCTGGTAATAAGTCTATACGAAATTCTACTTGCCTATCAGGTGGTAATCCGGGAAGATCTTCGGGAAAGACTTCCAGATAATCGCACACAACCGGTATATTCTGCACCTCTTTCTTTTCTTTCTTAGCATCGATTACGAATGCCAAGTACGATGCACATCCCTTGGACAAACATTTCTTGGCTTTCATCAAGGAGATGATTCCAGAACTCACTCTGCGTTTGTCCCCGTACACCATAAATGATTCCTTTCCGGGTGGGTTTATCCTAACTATCTTCTTTCGGCATAATATCTCGGCATCGTTGGCGCTAAGCCAATCCATACCCAAAACGATGTCAAAACCGTTTAACTCTATGGGTAATAGTTCCTCATGGAATTCGTTTCCGTTTAGGTCAATGACAATGTTCCTAATACGATTACTAACAGGTACGAATTTGCCACTGGCAACTTCTACAATTAGGGCGTTATCAAGTTTTTCTACAGGTAATGCTAATTTCGCACTAAATTTATGCGACACAAAGGAGTAGTTGGCTCCGGAATCAAACAGTATATTTGCAGGCAAACCATTTACAAGAAAGGTACCTGAAGCGACGTCTGCTGCCTCCTTTGCAGCCTCGAGCGTCATCTGGAAGGCTCTCGCCTTCGGCTTTGGTGGTATGTTGGGTCTTCCTGCCTCCTTCTTCTTCGGGCAGTCCTTCAAAATGTGCCCTTCTTCATTACACCCATAACAGGCCTTCTGGTTAAGGGTGAATTCATTGGCATAGTGCCCAGGCTTTCCGCATTTGTAACAAGTGACCCCTCCATCACACTTCCCAAAGTGCTTCTTCTTGCACTTGTCACACCACTTTGCTTCTGATCCTCCTCCTCTCGAACCAGGTTTCGAGAATCTACTCTTCTTGTTGGACTTCGAGGATCCATCGAACTTCCGTTTCTCACCGACCTCAGCCCTTTCCAGACCTCTTTCCTTTTGTTGGGTCTCCACATTCTTAGCTGCTCGAACAGCTGATTTCAGAGTGGTTGCCATCTTGACTGTTGGGCCAAAGTCAGCCGGCAGTCCGTTTGCAAATTTCTCAATTTTAGAAAGTTCGGTTGGCACTAGGTATGGAAACAACTTCATCTTTTCCGTAAATGCAGCAGCATAGTCATCGATGCTCATTCTGGCCTTCTTCAAATTTTGGAACTCATTGTTCAGATCAATCAGGTCTATCTCTGAACAGTACTGCGCCTTTAGTTGTTCCAAGAACTCATCCCATGACATTTTCAGGGCTTTTCCTCGTGGCATCGTATCTGCCAATAGCTTCCACCAACTCAAGACTCCAGTTTTCAATTGTCTCACAGCGAAGACAGTCTTCTGCTTTTCGTTGCAGTCGTAGCTCTCAAACACCATCTCCATCTCGGAGATCCAGTTCATAATCTCAACAGGCTTTGGGCTTCCTGAGAGACTTGGTGGTTTTGCACCCAAGAAATTTTTGTACATCCGCCCATCCTTGTTGTTTCTTCCTTCTGGGCCATCCCTTTGTTCACCTTGAGTCCCTATTTGACTCACTTGATGGCTATAGTTCCCTTCCTCAGATGGCTCGGGAACTGGCTCCGTCGGTTCAACATGTATGGTAGGTTCGTCTCTATTCTCGCGGAGCATCCGTCTCATTTCTTCCCTTTGTTCAGCTAGCATAGCCTGAATCATGGCTTGAACTCCAGCCATGGTAACTGGCTCAGGTGCAACTTCTTCAACAATAGGTATTTGCTGAACTACTGGGGGTTGGTTCCTACCTCCATTTGCGTTCACGTTTCCGCTACGGGTCCTTGCCATCATGATCTATACACCGAATAAGGTGAATTCAGATCTTTATTTAGGAGAGACGTTTTAAATCGTCCTTATCACTCTGAAACATTTACATGCTAGTTCTAATATCGTAGTCGTACATTTAGAATCCTAAACACATAAGGTTTCCAGATCCAGTCGGCAACAGACCATAGATCCGAACAAAATAACGGCATATCATGCATAAAGCATTTAGCACATAAAAGCATTTTAGGCACAATTCCTAAAATAAGCTAGTACTCACACCTCACAATCATCGCTTAGCATTCTAAGTTTAAGTCTAGAAATCCTACAAATTCCTAGTTCACTTAACTCACACCTCACAATCATCGCTTAGCATTCTAAGTTTAAGTCTAGAAATCCTACAAATTCCTAGTTCGCTTAAACTAATGCTCTGATACCATTTGTAACACCCCCTCTGGCACGTATCACAATATTGTCCGCTTTGGGCCACTCGGCACAAGGACTTCCCAGGGGGTCACCCATCATGGTACTACTCCTGCCCGAGCACGCTTAAATGCAGAGTTCTTATGGGATCTGTTGCCCTCACGGCTTTAAAACGCATTGTGACAAGGAAGGTATCCACACCCCTTTATAAGGAAATGTTTCGTTCTCCTTCCAAGCCGATGTGGGATCAGATAAGTGGGTTAGATCTGATCCCACATCGGCTTGGAAGGAGAACGAAACATTTCCTTATAAAGGGGTGTGGATACCTTCCTTGTCACAACGCGTTTTAAAGCCGTGAGGGCAGCAGATCCCATAAGAACTCTGCAGTTAAGCGTGCTCGCTGGGAAGGAGAACTAAGCATTCCTTATAAGGGGTGTGGATACCTTCCCTATCACAGCGCGTTTTAAAGCCGTGAGGGCAGCAGATCCCATAAGAACTCTGCAGTTAAGCGTGCTCGGGTGGGAGTAGTACCAGGATGGGTGACCCCCTGGGAAGTCCTCGTGCCGAGTGGCCCAAAGCGGACAATATTGTGATACGTGCCAGAGGGGGATGTTACATTTTTTTTGTAAGAAACAATGTTGAGATTTTTTTTTCACTTTAAAAACATTGTATGTGAATGTTGGAATTTTTGCACCTTAAAATTTGATTATAGTGATGGTTTTTGATGATTTTTTAATGTTGAGGCTAAAATTTGATTGTAAAAAGGTTGTATAAGAAAATCAGATATTTAAATAAAACAGAAAAAAAACAAATAAAAAAACATATATTTAAAAAAACAGTAAAAAAAGGATAAAAAAAAAACTAAAATGAAAATTGTCATATATATATATATATATATATATATATATATATATATATATATATATATATATATATATATATATATATATATATATATATATAATAAAAAGGTGGAATAAAAAAGAAAAAAATAAGATATTTAAATTAAAAAAAAAAAAAAAAAAAGTAAAGAAAATGAGAAAAACAATAAAAAGGCGGAATAAAAAAGGAAAAAAAAAATAAGATATTTAAATTTAAAAAAAAAAAAAACTGAAAAGGAAACTAAAAAATAAAAGAAAAAGAAGAAAAACACTAAAATGGTAAATAATTTTTAAAGAACACTAAAATGGTAAATATTTTTTCCACCCACCCTATTACCTATTATGGTCAAAAACTACAAAATAAAGAATCATAAAATATTCGGCGATCGACATAATGATTCATAATCATTACAATGATTAAAAAAATATCCAGTCTCTAAAATGTTGATTAAAATATATATATATATATATATATATATATATATATATATATATATACAAAACATGGTTCATTTTTTTAATGTAAAAAATAGCTTCATATGAACATAAATTCAAACAGATCCTTCAACGATACATAATTTAATTTAACTATAATTCCATTAATACTAAACTCTAAAACACGTTGACATAAATGAACATAATACATTTTGTAACTTTCTTCTGATTCCTCCAAATAATCACCTCCTTCATATAATAACAACTTAAACGTCTGAAAATATTATATATATTGCACATAAACTATATCAAAATGATTAGAAAAACAATTTAAATGCTAAAAATACAAAAACATCAATCAACCGTTAGCTCGTTCTTCTAGTAGAGAATACCTCTCCAATACTGCAATAGTCTCTTCTTTAGCACTATCCACATAACAAATAAATCCAACTAAGAATTTTTGCCAAACAAATAAATTCAACATATATATAATTGGATTTGAAGATTTACCTCCCGGATCTCAAGATCTTGTATTTCCCGATCATAGTAAGGTCAACAATCGTTGACCCTTCACGCCCTGATGGAAGTACACCACCATCATAAACAAAACGACAACGTTCCCAAAGATTCTTAAACTCTTTAATATCTAAACTACTCGGTTGTCCACTAAGATTTGCACTTGTTAACGCCAAAGCACTTCCACACCCACGAGCAATCATCCTGATAAATTCAGAATCAGGTACTCTAACTCCTACAGTATCGAATCCAGGGTTTAAAGATTTCTCAAGAACACTTGATTCCCCTGAAAATAACAAAAAGCTTTAGCCTTGGGCTCACACAGGACAAAATAGAACATATAAGATAGATTTAACAAGTGTAAACCTCTTGTTAGAACTAGGGTTACAGGTCCTGGAAGGAGATTGTGAAGAAGGCCAAGAGGCAGATGGTTTGTGACTGCAAATCGGCCTATGTCGTTTACATCACCAACACAAATGGCTAAAGGACTAGTGTGTTTACGTCCTTTGATTTCATATATTCTATTCACTGCATCTACAGAGCTGTTGCATCAAGGGTTCGCATTAAAGTATGTATTTTATGATGAAGTTCATTGAAGCAAAACGTCGAACACTATGAATGCGTCGAGAAATTTGGAGATGTGAAAGAAACTTACCAAGCGTCACAAGCGAAACCGTAGAGTGTATCAGTGGGGACGGCTATAACCTTTCCATCTCGTAAAGCTTGGATTGCTTCATCAGCGTAAGCCTCCGTCGCGGGCCGTACGATCCCAGACGTATTACTTTCAATACCCTCATTACATTTTTCCATACTCCATGCCATTTTCCTTACTGATACTCCACGAAATCCCTTGTTTTGATGAAGAATTGTTGAAAATCCAAACTTGGGTACTCCTGAAATTATACCAAGATATCCCAAGTTGGGGATTGAAAAAGAGCTCATTTTAAAACAAGACCCACAGTGTATGAAAGAAATTAACGGGTTAGTGTGAAGAAGAACGCTTCGAGAGGTTATCTTTGTAGGGTTTATTGTATTTGTATACATAAACAATCTTTCTCTATTGCTGTAGTGTAGTTGCAGCAGATTGTTCGCCGACCACGATGCCTTTGTTTGTCATACCTCATAAAGACCGGGTTAGTGTTGAGTAGGATGATATGATAGACACAGAAACTGGATGCCGATTCCTCAATTTTTGGAACGAAAAATATATTCTATTCTACTAGTAAAGTGTCAAACTCCAAACTTATTATTCGTCGTCTATTTATGTATTTTATTAGTGCCAAATATATATATATATATATATATATATATATATATATATATATATATATATATATATATATATATATATATATATATATGGGAAAAGTGAATATATCCTTAAGTAGTACATCGTTTTGTATCATATATAGACATTGTAATTGTCCAATGTTCTTATAACTCAACTTTTAAATTGAATTACTTCAAAGATTTTTATAAATTTCATATATATCTTCCTCTTACACAATTGTCATTTTCAACAATAATATATATAGCATAGTAAGTGTTCAACAAAAATATGTGATGTAAAAAGAAGATAATAGTGAAAATTTAAAAATATTGAATATAAATCAAGTTAAGGATTGAAGTTTAACAATATTATAATGAATATATCAAACAAAACGACGTATTATTATGAGTTTGGTACTTAAACTTGTATACCCTTAAGGGTATATTCACTTTTCGCTATATATATATATATATATATATATATATATATATATATATATATATATATATATATATATATATATATATATATATATATATAGGAGGGTTGAATTGAGAAAAAAAAAAGGGTTGAGAATGGGGGAATCATTCTCAGCCAGTCATTTATTTTTGCCGCAAAAGCCTCAAACATACCGGCGGAAATGGGAAAGGAATCCACATGTATTTTCCAACAAAACATGTTTCCTTAAACTATACTAAGCATTACCTTAATATATACAAAAACATAGTTTTTTCATTTTTTTTTTAATTTTTAAGAAGTTATTTTTATCGAAAAATGATTTTAAAAATACCAAATTTCATGATTTTTTATTCTCTACAAATAGACATCCATATTGATATAATTTTAAGATAAAATAAAAAAAAATTATATTTTCAGTTATCGTTATTCATAAGTGAATAAAAATGAATCTGATTTTTACTACAGTACATTCGTTATTCACTTATGAATAAAAACTATGATTAATTTTTTTTACAATTTAAGTATCATTCATATATGAATATAGCATATACTAAACATAGTATATTCATATTTAAATATTAGACGATGCATTCACTTGTGAATATTACATAGTATATTCACTTGTGAATGTTAGATTGTATATTCACTTATGAATATTATATGATATTTTCATATGTGAATATTATATAGTATTACATGGTATATCACATGAGAATAGTACATAGTATATTCACTTGTGAATATTAGATCATATATTCACTTATGAATAATAGTTGGTATATTCATATGTGAATATTGCACAGTATATTAATATATGAATATTACAATGTGTTTTTAGAAATAACACGTGGGCACCACGGATTAGAAAGGTAAAAATAATTTTAATAAAACTATAAGGTAATTATTTAGCAATGATAAAAAAAAAATTAATAATTTAATAAATTAGGCAATAAATATTACAAATAAATTTTTTGTTCACGTGTTTGATATGTGTAAAATGGATTAGTGAATTAGTGAAAATTTAATTAATGAGAAAAAACCTTAGAATGACAAGTGACAAATAATTAATGTGAAACTCTAATTGATTGACACGTGACAAATGTGTTACTCTTTTATTAGGTATATATATATATATATATATATATATATATATATATATATATATATATATACATACACACACACACACACTAGTAATCAACATGCGTTATGCAACGACAACAATTAATTTCATTCCAGAAAATAGTGAGGCGATTGTCTTCCTTTTTGCATACGTCAAAACATTTCTTTTATGTGGTCAATGTTGTTTTGGTTTGAAGGTAAAATTACATTGTTTATTTGGGTTTAAATGAAAAGTATTTTGTTGGTTGTGATTGTTTTCATTTATGTGAATAGTTCCGAGATAATAATTAGATTTCGTTGGACATGTTCAAATAGTTTCATTTCTATCAACGACTGAAAATTGCTATTTTTGGTGTACGTTGTTATTTCAGTTGCTATTTCGGGTAAAAAATAAACATGTGTTAGTAATTTCGTCAAAAAAAAACATCATTTATTGTAGGATAACATTAAAATAAGTTGGTTTTTGTTAAAATTAAATATTCATTTTCAAATTCCATAGATGTATGTCAAGTTTGCTTGTAGATATATTATTTGTTTTATTAGTTATATTATTTTTTTAACATATATTATTATTACTTTTATCGATTTTCAACAATATATATTTTTATTATTATCATCTATATTTGTTTTTGTTATTAATTTTGTCATTGGTTTTAATTTTTTTATCCATCATTAATTTGATAATTCCAACTATTACATCAAATGTAAGAATATATTTTACATATATCTCAAGATTGTTGTAAATAGTTAATTTGCATAAAACTTACTGAAATGTTTAAAACGTTAAAAACCCATTATGAAGTTTGAGAATATAGGTCTTAGCTAATTTTTTCAATCTTATTTTTCCATAGTTTTTTATTTCTAAAATGTATTAGAGAGTCGGTAAAAAATCACAATTTAAAAGAATTTACATAAGATTTGTAAGATATTAACAAAATCTTTGATAAAATTGATTGAAACTCAACCAATCCTTATTTTTCAGGCTTGTGAACTAATCAATATACTACTTTTATATGTTTTTTTACTAATTAATCAATAAACCACTTTTTAAATATATAATCACCACTCCTTAAGTTTATTTTTAATTTAAAAATGATTAAATTGCTCAGTGGAACCTCTCATGACTCTCATGTCGACCTCCCGAAATGGAAGCAATCATTTTTTCGTCTCCAATTTAACCAACCACCCGTTCTTTTGTCAAGCTATTATCACACCTAATATAACTAACCAGTTATATCTTAATCATACGACCCACTTTTTGATTTTCATGTTTCATTTTATTCATTTTTGTGTTTTTCAATTAATATTTTTCATTTTTATATCTTAAATAAACATAGATATATAACGGGATATCATGTAAAATCCTACTCTAATTTCACTGGTTTTTTAAAATCGTTTGGTTTCAAAATAAAATTACAATATCTGTTTGAATTTACTATAAAAAAAATTCAAAACGTAATGCATATATTTCTAATTTTATTTTGTCGACATAAGTATGAAGCAGGTTTATTCGGCTTTCAGCAAATGATGACATTACCCACTCAAAAAGTTAATTATACAACCACCCACAACTTCCATACATTGGAGACCCTTATATCATGCAAAAACACATATCATAATCATAAATTATTTAAAATCATGTATTTTTATAAAATCCAACTTAATGTACAACCAGACATGTATAATATGCAAGTCAAAGATTGCAGAAATATGATCCTTTTTAATTCCAATCCCAACTACAGATTTTGCCACAATAGTTGCTATCTCGGTTTGGTGGAATTACATGAAGTCAATCCTTGGCATTTTGAAATTACTAAGTCACCAGTATTGTAATGATCAATGCAATCTTGGAATCTGGCTAATGGTTTTTACACAATTTTAAGAAGTTTTAACATTGGTCAAACTTAATATTGGTTAAGTTAACTTCAATATATCTTCACTTGGTTTGACTTTGATCAACATCAGTTAGCATCTTCACTTGGTTTGACTTTCATCCACATCATTAAGCATCACTTCTTGCAACATTCATTTCATTATGCTAAAAGAAACCACCATACACAGTTTTTGCTTCGAAAATATATCTTTAGGCACCCACCTAGAAAACTTTAATCAAATACATGTTAGCAGCCAAAATCACATGATTAGTTACAGCCATCAAAAACAAATACATGAAAGGTTTGCAGCCTTTTATTACATATTATAAAAAAAATACTATAATTCCCTTTTCTTATACCCACAACCAATATCTTGTTAACAGATCACAACCCAATGGTAAAACCCCAACAACAAACCAAAATGGTCAGACCTTGTAGTAATTGTACCTAAGCATACTAAGATGAAAAGACCCTTTCCCTTTTATTGAACATTTGACAGCAGACCAGCACATCATGATTCAATGGTAAATGCCCAACAACAGTTTACAGTTATTTTACTTCATATAAAACGAATTGAAAGTAGGGCAAACTAATAGAAAAAAGAGTTTTAAAAAAAGTTATAATTTAACAAAATGACCAAGGTTTGATGTTGTGATGGAGAAAACCGGAAAAAAAAAAGTCATTTCAGTCACATACACACAACTACAGATAATATTTGCAAGATAGTTTATATATATATATATATATATATATATATATATATATATATATATATATATATACCACTACGACTTATTACCTTTCCATCATCAACATACCCCAAGATGGTGAGAACAAGGGGGCTACATTTTTTGGAGGGCTTTGTCAGATGTGTTAGGGTGCAGCTTAGGGTTTTGGACTAAGAGATAGAGTGAGAGGACTTGTATAAGTATTCATAAGGTGCCTTGGGAAGACATTTAGACTTGAAAAGCATTTAAAAATATTAAGAAAATATGTCAACAAAATAAAAAGCAAGAACTTATAGTTATGTCATACGTTAAAATCCGACTTACCTCTATCAAGAGGTTTTATAAGAAGCCCTCAATGTTTTTTCAAAGAAACCAAGACCATATACAGGAAAGAAAGCTTCTATGAAGAGTTGATTTTTCAGATGTTCCTGCAACAAAAAAAACACCAGCACTATCAAAATTTGAGTATTGATAGTTCCAGCAGCAAAAACATGGGAAAAAGCTTTAAAAACATAGTAATCCAATAAAAGATCGAATCTATTGTGTTTTTAAAAGAAAAGCTAATGGCTTTTTAGTGAGAAATTAAATTAGTGTTAGCTCCTTCACCTTAAAACATAAATACATGGATGGGCATAATAACACTAACAAAAACATCAAAGTAGCCAACACCACACGCAATCCATACTTTGTTTGCAAAGGCCCATTCACATGCAACTGTGTTTCAAGCCCAATTTATTTTGACCAAGCTTACACAAAACAATTT